CAGATCTCTCCAGCCTGCCCCCATCCCACCACCCTCTTGCCATGCCAACTTTTCCCTCCTCAACACCCGATCCCTCAACAATGAAGCCCCCATTCTCCATGAACTCATCCTGGACAATTCACTGGACTTTCTCCTGCTCACTGAAACCTGGCAACAACCCAATGACTACTTCTCCCTCAACCAAGCATCCCCCCCAATTTCGGCTATCTCTGCAAACCCCGCCCCTCCCGGCGTGGAGGGGGCCTTGCTGTCATATTCAACAAAAACTTCAGGACCATTGAACTCACTTTCCCCACAGTCACTTCATTCGAATTCCTCGCCTTCAAAACCTGCTCCAACACATTTATTCTCACTTACCGGCCACCTAAACCAAATTCATCCTTCATCTCCGATCTGTCTGAACTCCTTATCCTAGCTTCATCTTCCCCGCCACCCCTACTTCTAGTGGGCGACTTCAACATCCACATGGACTCCCCCACCTGTAAACTTGCCTCGGATTTCTCTGCTCTACTGTACAACTTCAACCTCACCCAACACATCACCTTCCCCACACATAATAAAGGCCATATTCTGGATCTCGTCTGCTCTGCCATTGTCCCGGTTCTGAACATTCAATCTTCCCCCTTTGCCCTATCTGATCACAAACTCATCCATTTCACAATGCCTTCCCCATCACCACAAAAAAGTGGTCTAGTATTTTGGATTTTATGCAATTGGTGGCGACGATGTTAAAGTAAGCATACAGGTATGCCCAGATGTGAACATCTGCAACCCGTAAGACAGGTGATTGTCCCTGATGACGGTCAATGCTTTCAGACATGAAATGACTCTCTGTATCTGCTTCACTCAAATACTTGTTTGAGTTCCCTACGACAGGAGAGGACTCGCTCACAGACGTGTAATAAATGGCTGTAATGACATTAGCCTGTCCATGAAAACACAGACTCAAACTCACACTGTTTTATATTAATTTATTTTTAAACAATTACTTGTCTTGTTTCATCTTTTTATTTACAGTCAGAAAGTCATGAGATGAAATAAAATAGGAATGTGTCTTACCTGCAGCACGGCGCTCACCTAGAATCAGACGATTGGATGTGGGTTTTAAAGTCACCTCTCTGATCCTGTCAATCATTATATGTTGATCGATGGGACGGAGCGTTCCTAAGTGTGTGTGTGTGTGTGTGTGTGTGTGTGTGTATGTGTGTGTGTGTGTGTGTGTGTGTGTGTGTTTGAGCCAAACACGACTGGACAGGGTGAGTTCATCTGATTTCTTGTATAGACAAAGAAGAGAACCATGTTTTAGGAGTAAACCTACTTATAACAATGAGTTATAAATAACTCATATAAGTTATTTTTTCTACATCGTCAAACGGGTATTTTAATGGTTCAAAACATAAATTATTATTATTTTTAATTATTACTTATTATTTAATGACAGTTCATATAATATTTTAATGAATTTGATTGTCCTTTGTTTTGTTCTTTAATGACACCATCCAATTATCTTTGTACCTGCCTGTTCCACCCTGTCACGCTCACGTTCCTCGCTCTCGTTCCACACTTCACCTTCCACCGTCCACTAGTGTTGTTACCTCCGGCCCTCCTGCTTTGAAGCTTGTGTCGAAAAATTTTCTGTTTTATTCTGAATTAGCAACTCTCCTCTCATTTCAGGTCACTTATCCTTTCCTCATGTGTCACCAGTTACCTGATTCCCAGTTGTGTCCACCTGTTCCCCATCGCCCTCCATGTGTACTAACAGTCTGCGTCTCCCTCTGTCCGGTGCCAGTGTCTCTGTTTCTGTCCTTCTGTCCTCGTGTTCGCTTCAGCCTCGCAGTAGTTTCTGAGCATCGAAAACCACGTCATGGTGTTCTGCTCCATTGTTTTTCCCCCAAGAGAGTAATTCTGATTTTGTGAAATCATACATTTAGGTTAATGGTTAATGTTTTCATCGTCCTTTGTTTCCTATTAAGGAGTGAATTTTGTTTTAATAATCTTTCATAGTGCCTCCAGTTTTAGAGCAGTGTTTCTTTTTAAGTTACGTTGCCTCCGTCCAAAGAGTGCTTACCCGGTATTCTGATTAGTTAAAGTTAAAATCCTTTCTGTTTTCCTCCTCGAGTGGAGCGACTGTTGGTCGATCATTGTTATAGCCACACTTCTTTCTAAATTATTTATTGGTAGAATCGTGATCTAGATCATTTTTATTGCTCATATTTATTTCTCTGCCTTGAAGATCCAGTCTTACTAATAAAGACCACAAATCCATTAAAACCCTGTGTTCTGCCGGGTTGTGACGCTGCCAAATCTAAAGAATGTAATGTTATAAATTGAGTGTTGGAGGAAGACAAAGGCAATTAGACAGCTTTGTATATTTGATAAAACATCTCAATATAATATGTTAAATTCACATACTAATACAAACTCAGTATTCATGCTTTGTGTTTATATTTTGGTAGTTTTAATATTTGCTTGTTTTATTTGATTGCAGTTGTAACCCCCCCTCAGCTGTTACCCATCTCTCTCACATCGTGATATTTGCATCTAGAGTTTAGCTTTCCTCTGCGTCACAGATCAGGTGAGTCCTGAAGAACTGCTGGATCTTCTTCCACAGGTGGACCTCAGCTGCAGCGTGGGACCAGGCCTCGCCCCCCAACAGGACCGGTCCGTCCACAAATGCATTAAAATCGGAGGGGCAGTAGGGTCCGTAAGGTGGCTCTAGAATGTGTCCCGCTCCGGGGTAACACACAATCTCAAAGTTGTCCTTCCCATGACGCTGCAGTCGCTCCACCATCATATCCACGTAAGCCTTGCTGTCCCAGATGAGGTCGGCTTCTGAGGCCACGAAGAGGAGACGTCCCTCCGCCCGCTCCACAGGGATCAGCGTGGCCTTGTTCTCCTCTGCAAGAGGGTCGGTCGCAACCTTCTTGATATTGAAGGCCTCTGACTCAGTGGGAATCAGCTTGCTTAGATCACCCATTAACGCAGGGAGGATCTGGCTCTTCTTATAGTAGAGAGGAAGAAGCGTGTTGGCGGAGCAGCTGTTGATGCACACTACGGCCTCGACACCTTGCAGGTAAGAGGCCATCGACAGTGCCAGATCTCCACTTTTTGAAATGGATATCACACCAACTCCTTTACCGCCAACCTGTGGTCCAACAAAACAACAATTAGCTGCTTGTTATTAAATACTTTTGGCAGTGTTGTAGACAGAAAACCTGCAAAAAGGTGTCCCAAAAAAAGCAACTGTATTCTCAGATATTAAGAGTTTACAGTTCAAACAACTTGCCTTATGTTGTTTTTTCAAAAACTCCACTGCCTCCTCAAAATAATCCAGATGGATCTCTTTGATGTTCCTTGCCATGTCGCTGTGACCGTACAGCGCTACAGTCAGAACCACAAACCCTCGGCCGGCCAGCAGGGAGGCCCTTTTCTCTGACAAACCTCCACTGAAGGTGTAGAGATCCAACACAGCGGGGAACAGACCTTCTCCTAGTTTGAAACACAGAAGGTTAACACTACTATAACACCGCAGCTAAATCCTATCAAACATAATTGATAATCTATTACTTTTAATGTTTGTTTTTGAAGGGTTTAAATATCTGACAAAGACAAAGAAGAACCTGGCGGAGTGAAGAGGACCCCACGAATATTCCCCTCTCTGACCGTGCGCCGGATGACCCCGTCTCTGATCAGCAGCCTCTCATTGGTCGCTTCTGCCAGCATCCTGCCCCCTCTTCCTTTTTCTGGTCATGAACTGAGATCTTCACCCCGTGGGGGTTTAGAGACTTAGTTCTTTGGAAACTCTTGTGCAAAGTGTCCGGCCTCATGGACCAAAGCAGACCCATGGGTTCAAC